GTGAGGGATATCAAACTACAGGAATCAAATCGTCATAATTAAAACAATATGAGCTAAAGTGGAAACTTCAACAAACTACAAGAACCAAAAGTGATTATTTAACTTTTTTTCATTAGGAATTTCCGACATGTCAAATTTCCCACCATCAATGACCTACCCACAAGTTACCATCCTTGCTCATCTATATAAACTCAATGAAAATAGAATACTGATGGAAATGGTTCTTGAATTTATGCTCGAGTTTCATTTTGGTCATTCAACTAAATTTTTTACCGAAATTGTCCTCCAACTCTCTCTTTCTTGTCAAATTGGTCCCACCGTCAAATTCAGTCACTGTTGTCGTCAATTTGAGTGGTAAAACCATCACTTTTGACTATTAAGTAATGAGTTTATGACCGAAATGGTCCCTAAACTTATGGATAAGTTCCATTTAGTCCTCAAACTCATTTAAAATAATTGTAAAAAATTTAAAAAAATCTATCTCCCTCTGTTGCCTCCCAACTTAACAATTCCCCACCTCCAACACCACTCCTATACTCAGCAGTGATGTTGCTCCGACGAACTCTATCATCGGTGCTGTTACTTCCAGCAAACTCCTTCCCATCCCAACAATCTTCCCTTTGGTGGTTGCGTTTTTTATGGAGGACCAAACTGGAATTCGGGCATAAATTCATGACCATTTCGGTCAAAAAACCATTACTTAATTAATGTCTTAGTCAAAATTGACGGTTTTGGCCCTTATACTGACGACAACATTAATGGTGGACCAATTTGCCACGAAAGAGAGAGTTGAAGGACCATTTTGATAAATAAAAAATTAATTGAATGACCAAAATGAAATTTGGACATAAATTCAAGGACCATTTCAGTCAACAAAACATTTGTATTCTAAATGTAAAGGCTCATTCTCTATAATAAATAATAAAACAAAATAAGTTGTCAAGAATATTTATATGGCATGACTTTTATTTTTTATTTTGTATTGGCAAAAATTAGGAAGAAAATAGGGGAAACTCACGCACACCGGTAGTTACCATTAACAATTTAAAGAATAAAGAGCTATTCTCACCCCATATTATTTTTTAATCCACCTTAAAAAAGAATAATATTAATTTCTTACCTACATTTATTCCTAAACTACCCTTAATGCATACATTCAACGAAACCACACTTCAAATATTGTCCCACAAAAATTTTCATCTTACCAGCTCGTCCATTTTCTTAATCGTCAAATTATCCATTTTATAGGTTAAGTTTTAATTTTTGGGATTTTGATCACAAAACTTCATTCTTATTTCAAAGTTTTTTTTTTCTGTTCGTTAGAGTTTGGGTCTTAATGTGTAGAAGAGAAGATAATATAGAAAGTCTGTTCAATTTGTCATTCTCCAGAAACTGATTGATACGGTTTAAAAAATATATATATATAAATAAATATAAATAAATAAATAAATATTATTAATAAAAAAAAAAAAAAAAAAAGGTAACACACCTTGGGTCAAAGTGACTGCCATATCTAATTTGGGATTCAAGAAAGAAAGTAAAGCAGATCAATGGCTTTGAGTCCTCATATGCTACTTTACAAAAGGTTAAACTTGTTATCAAAATTTTCATTAAAATAGGGGTGGAGAAATAAGATTGGTGGTAGAAATAGCAGCACTTGAGATCATAAAAAAACAAGGTCGCCAGTGGCGTATAGCTAGGATGGCAAAAATCCTAGTCGGGCTAGGTCCCTAGCCCTAACAGGGGAAAATTTCAGGGCAAAACGAGAATCGGGTATGGGGGTCCCTGAATCTTAAAAATCCTCGTTGGGTATGGGGTGGGGATGGTATTGGCATCCCCGAACCCGACCCAATAATTATAAGAGTAATTTTAAATTAATACATATATAATATAATATAAACATCATTCAAAAATTAAAAATAAATAAGAAGCCCCCTCCTCTCCTCACCTCTTCTTATCTCCTTCTTCTCTCTGTCTATCACTCACAGACTTCATCGTCTTTTTCTTTTGCTTTTTTGTTGTATCTGACACAGCAACAAACCCTCATGTTTTGGCTTAGAAAAGAATTAATAATTTTGGCCATTGGTTGTTGTTTGTGAGTTAATCAATTCGACTAATTAACTATATCAAAAAGAAATATATACTCACCCTCTGTTGTCATTGGATTTTGATGTTTATATATTGAATGAGTTGCAGTGTTCACTTATCCTCTATTTTTCTTCTATTTGGCCATATAATAAAAAAAAAGGACTTGCCTCGTGTCAAAATAAGTATAGCTGTGCGGCTGTACTATTTATAAAATACTAAACGGGAAAAAATACGTACTTGTTTATTCAATAAAATTTTGGCAACTTAAAAGTTCGGCCCACTATATAATATTTTAATATATATTTTTTGTATGCAATAATATGTGAGAATTATTTGTATAATATGTGAATTTTGTACGTGTATTAAGCATGAAAAATACGTAAGTACTTGTACAATAAGAGTATTGTATGTTTGCTTTTTAAAAATCGTGAATTTTAGAGAATCTTTAAGACGTGTACAGAACACTGATGTGTTATTGTAAAATACGTATGTACATGTATAATAGATTATTGAACGTGAATGTGGTAAATTCTTTATACGGGTAATAAATCTGGAAAATGGGACAATAGAGACTCGAGTTTTGGCCTAATAGTAATGGACAATGCTCTAAACTACTCTTATCGATAAATGAAAATCTGGGAAAAAATGTAAAAGAAAAAAAAGGAAAAAAGTATATATAAAAAAGAATATAGCCGCCTGGCTATATTAGTTTTTAAAAAAAGAATGAGTATAGCCGGCGGCTGTACTATTTAAAAAAAAACAGAAAAAACGCGTATAGCCGGGCGGCTATACTATTTACCCAAAAAAAAAATGACTCGTCTTGCGTTTAGTCGCCACTTGGCTAAACACTGAAATAAGTATGGCCGCTCGGCTATACTATTTTTTGGAACATTAATAAAACCCAATATAGCCGCGGCTATACTATTTATAATTTTTTTTTTTTGGGGGTCAAACTATTTATATAATATTTTTTTTAGAAACCCTGCCTTGTGAACAGGCGCCACGTGTCTAAATAAGTATAGTCGCGTGGCGATACTATTTTTTTAACATTAATAAAACCCAGTATAGCCGCGCAGCTAGCCTATTTATATAATATAAATTTAAAAAACCTGCCTTGTGCTACGTGTCAAAATACGTATAGCCGTGCGGCTATACCTTTTTAAAAAAAGAAAAAGCCGAGTATAGCCGTGGGCCTATACTATTTATATAATTAAAAAAAGGACCAACCTTCCGAATAGGTGCACCGTGTCAAAATAAATATAGCCGTGCGGCGATACTATTTTTTTAAAACAGAAAAAGAATCGAATATAGCCGTCCGGCTGTACTATTTATAAAATACTATTAATGGAGAGGGAGGCCTTGAACTTGCGACCTCTTTCAATATTGAGAAGAAAGATATAACTAGGTCAATAGTTAGTTGATCAATTATGGGCTTTTAAAACTCTAAAATTCAGTAAATGATCATTAGTGTAGTGATTTGGAGCAATTGCTCCCTCATGAAAGGTCCTGGGTTTGAGTCATAGCATTTGTGTAGTGTGTGTTAGTTTAATATATTATCGTCCCTCTCAATAGGAAAGGCCTTCAAAAAAACAAACTCTAAAATTCAAATTTTAGAAAATGGTTTTTACCACCAATTGTCCTAGATGTTTTCATAAGTCATTATTTTGGATGTCGACATTCAAAATCGATCAGTATCGTCTGTCCTCCACATTTTGCTCTGCACATCAATATTATCCATGCCGTTTAATTCTTTAATTTTTCATCACATGCCCCTCATGTGACCCTTTTATGGGGGCATTTTTGTCAAAGCAATGCCACCCCCACCCTCTTTACTCTTTATGCGATGGATTTTTTATTGTCATAACTTGGCGATCCCACTTCTCACTATTTTCCATTCCAAATGCACAGCTTCAGCCTTGCTGCATATAATGAAGCTGAAATTTGGTTACATTATACTAACTTGTCCAGCCCACTAATTTACCACAGAAAGGCGAATAAAGCCCGAAACACAGAGTCCTCCATTATCAACTTCAAAGCAGATGAGGCCATTTGGGTCATTTGCTGAAACCAATAATCATATTTGAAACTTTTCTAAAGCCCACGTATGGAAACGCCCACTCTGATAAGGGAAAAAAACACCCAGGAGGAACAAACAAGTTTACACCAAACTTACAAATCTGCTTATGGGTACTAAGGAGGACAAATTTTTCGGTATGAATATAACATCGCTACGTGATGTTATCAATTCACCTATACATAAGTATATAGTTGGATTAGTATTAGTAACACCGGACGGTCACACCGTTTTTTATTTTTCTGTTTTTTGGCCAAATGAGCATCGATATAAACTTGTACTACTACATATTACATATTACATATCAAACAGATAAGGTTTAAGGTTTAAGCCATGGCTTGATTTACATTTCGAGTTGGGTATCATGTGTTGATGGTAATTTAAGGGTTGTTTTCTCTGTTCTAATCGAACTTCCAAATAAATAATAATAATAATATAATAATAATAAGAATTTACATATATATGACGCAGGTCAGCAAAAATCCAATTGTATATACACACACAGTCATATACACTTCTGCACAAACACAGCCATGGCTATATACCGTCGGAAAGTAAACAAAGGGAATTGCTAGATTGTCCAAAGTAAAGCATTCTTAAAAGTAAACGATGCACTAGGTTCATAAAGTGTCAAGGAAAAGATTGTTAGTACCGAGTATAAATTTATAGTACGTATCTGGTACATTGTCGATATAATCTACATTTATATTGATTTATATAACCTAGAATAAACATCGATGGATCATATATATGTATGTATATTGATAATGTATCAAGTATTTAAAATTTCATAGTCGATACCATCCAATCACTCCTTTTTGCATAACACTGTGGGTGACATATGCTATATTGAAAAGATTGTTTAGTACATGCATGCATGCATTTACAAATTGAAAACGACAGTGCTACTATTAAGCTGGCAATGGCATCCAAACAAGATTATCAGCAGGAAAGAAATGGCAGACAGGGCAGCTCCCAGGTTGAACACCAAGCACACTGAATGCCACATGGCTAGGGTCCCACTGAGAAGTATCAAAGTGGCAAACAGCAGCAGCTTCAACTCTCTCTCCATTCTCACCACCAAGCAAAACTTGATACAGCCTGTTCTCACTTTCTTGGCTATGGCAATAGAAAACTGCATAAGGGTAAGGCATGGTGTGGCATCCAATCATTTTAGGAGCCAAGATCTCCTTGGGAGCTTCCAAAACGGTGTAGTTTTGCAAAAGGGTAGTTGATTTTTTTAGTTGGGTTGTGGTTAAGACCTTGAACTTGGTGCTTGATCCAAAGAGGGCACCTACAAGATCAAGCATGGATTCTATGGAGGCAGCACAAAACTTGGCCTCTCCTCTGATGGGTTCAAGCTCACATTGGGTCAATGTGTATTCACTGGCCTTGGCTTGGGGAGACTCTTGGGTGAAGGAGAAAAATTCAAGAAGGTAGGTGAGTTTTGAGATTGAGAAAGGAATGGAAGCAGCTTCTTCTCTATCTCTAGGCAATATTCTAGGAGATGTAGAAGGGTCATTTTTGGAAAAGTATATGGGCATGGTTTTCCCTAGCTTCAGATCTTTTGGGGTGAAGAAAACATTTAGTGCAAGGTCCATGTGATGCATGTGGGATGATGATGATGATGAATGATCATGATCATGCTCATTGCCTTGATACAAATCAATCAAGTCTTCATTGTTGTCTTTCCCATTTCCTACAGAAATAATCTTCCTGGCATTATTTCCTTGTGCAGTATGAAATTATATGTTCAAACTTCAAGCAATTAGAATAAAACAAAAAATAAATAAATCAAAGCAATAAACTTCTAGACACACCGCAACAAATGCTGTTGAACTAAGAACACAATCAAGAAAACTTTGATGAGCTGGTGAAAATTCAGTGAGGTGGAAATTAATGCTTACCAATAAAATAAGTAGTGCGTATAAGATGAGGCTCCAAGAAGAACGCATTTCCTCTCTTCAAATTGTCTCGATTTTCTTTTCTTTTCTTTCTTTTCTTTATAAGTTTTTTTTTTTGTCTGAATGATTTATACGTTGGGAACTTAAATTTAATGCAAGCAGAGTTCTTTAATTCCTCTTATTAAATTAATCCGCACATTATGCTAGCACCTACGCAATTTCCTTCTTTTTTTTATGGGTTTATTTTTCGTACGGGAGGGCAGGAGGAAAGGGAGACAGAGAAGATATTTTTTTCCTCTTATTATTATACTTGATGCATTGTTTGTAGGTATTACAAACTCATAAGATCATATCATATAATATTCATTTTTCTAGTTATGTTATTAACCCAAGTTTCAATAGGGCATTTGATACATTTACAAAACTCGTTTTTTTATTCAATAAAGATCATTCATAATATTTGAACTTATTACCTCTTTCAACAAAAAATAGATAATAAATACAACTGAACCGAATGCTCGATGAATTTATAGAACTTGTTGAGTATAAAGTAGCCGTATCTAATCAGCAACATCTCCAACCTCTAATACTGTCAACTAAATAATATCAATACGTAGTGTGAAATTTTCTTGTAGTGATTTTAATCGTAACCCAAGAGATTAAAAAATGCATACTATTAGCATAGCATCTCATGGTTATGAATTACGTGCGATAGATATGGTTAGTGTAATACTATCTCGTTGACATTCACAATAAGATGATAAAAAGGAAGCCAAAACAAGGGACATGTGTGGTGAGTGTCAGGTCAAAAAGAAAAGGGATTCGAGTACCTACTTTATATAATGAAAGGCTCTCCTCACTTTTGGACTTTTGGTGAAAGAATGGTACTTCAATTTCGGTACTCATGAAAGAACTCAATTTGGGCTAATGTCCTTTAACTAATTTCTTCAACGATTTTATACCTGCCTACTCCCACTAACTTTAGTTAAAGCTTGTGTGGAGGGAAAGGGAAGATTCTCTTTGATCATAGAGGCTATTTATAGTACTTGAATATAGTCGAACATCATTTCATCTTATAAACGATTTCGATTGATAATCTAATAAAATAACATGTTAAACTGTGTTAATGAGATAAACATACCATAAGAATCGATTATATGATTTTACAACTATTTTAACTTCTTTTTTTCCTTTTTCTTTTCCATTTTGGGCTTAAGAATCCCAATAAGCATATAGATAAACCCTAGATGTGTCCTGGTTCAATGCATAAACACCCAACAACACCAATCAATAGTTAGCTTTTCCAATTTCAAACCCCCACTAAAAATATACGTGAAAAAGACAAAGTGCAAGATAGGAACACTCGACAAATTTATGCACAAGTCAATGAACAATGAAATCTCTCTTACAAAAGAGAGAGAGAGAGAGAGAGAGAGAGAGAGAAGATTCTGCTTTTCTAGATCTCATAAATCAACTCGTTGAAAGTGTCGCCAGTGTACAAAGTCCTTTGATTATCCTCACCGCCCCAATGCATGCATCAAATTTGGTCATCATCATAACCAAAATGAACCTTTCAATGGCTAAGAATTTCTTCACAGAAAGTGATAACCATTACCACATTAGCAAAGCACATACCATTCCAACCAATCGTGAGCTTACATGCACATCCACCTCTCCGACCATTTGGAGCCACCCTTTTACCAAAAGTTGATCGTGGAAAGATCATAGCCAATAGACAAATAGGCAACGACCCTCCAAAAAGACCCTATTTTACTTTATTCATCACATTGTTTTGTTCTTTCTTTTTTTAATAATGCAAGTTGACATCATTGTGTTTTGTCTCCTTTTGCAACCTGATCAGCTAAACTTAACGTGATCTCTAATGAATAAAATATATATTGGAAGAAAACCAGAAAAGTGCAACTAGAAACTTCTTTATACATGATGCAGAACTCAAGTTGACTTTCGTAAACAAACATGTTGCATTGCTATATTCTCGAATCTGAATTATTAGATTACAAGAATTCTTATTTGAATATCTAAAAAGAGAACAATAATGACAAATTAAAGTACAAAAAATTATGTTTGGTTAATTGACACACATATGGCTGGTTGTTAGTTGTTGATACATAGCGATCTACACCGATTTGTGACTCACCTTATACCTATAAGACAACTTTATTACTAGAAAAATGAATTTTTAAGCGAAATAGAATACGTTTTTATGGATGAAACAAAAGAAACAAATAAGAAAACCCTAGCTTTTTTTATTTTTTATTTTAAAAAAAAAAAATTACAAGTAATGCTATGTGAGTGAACAAATAAGAAAGAAAAAGTACAACTAGACATTTCTCACAAGACAAGCACAAGTACACAATTTATAATATATTGTGGTGCACATTATAAGTTGACTTTAGCATAAAGAGCCAACACACATTTTTGGTGGGTATGCACTATAGAACCTAACCGAACCGTCTCTGAGTTTGTCCCCTTGTTATCTTCGGAGAGTCTTTAGCCAATACCAATTAGATCATATTCTTTGTCTTTCTCAATTTGTAAGTCAGCTGATAATAACATGAGAATCCTGCATGGAATAGTACACACTAGATCCAATCTGTATATTACAATGATTATTAATATTTTGCAAAGTTTTGATTATGACTGCTTAAATAATTATAGCCCTCATAGAAAATTAATATTTCAAATGGTGATGTCAACGGTACGTGTAGATAAGTTTGTGACATGTATTTTTAGTGGAGATACGTGTATTAATATCTGTATTTTTGTTATGGAAAAATTGGAAGTAAACAAATCATTTCTTTGATGAAATAATATGAAGGTCAACTTGTTATACAAAAGTTGAAAGTTTGAGTCTCTTTGGTGGATATGTCAGGATGACTCCATCTTCCATCACATGGAAGGGAAGGCAAAGTCGAACTCTCTATCTTTTTTGGTGTGGAGGTCTCTGTCTTATGAATGTGGAGATAAACACTCTTTATTTTAGTTATAATCTCAGCTATCACATGGGTATTTATATATTATATACAAGCGATATTGGGAGAGTGAGGAATCGGACTTAGGATCAGTGGTCATGTTCGTGGCACCTCATCTTAAACAACACCATAAAAAGCGGGGATGAGATAGCTTCATCTTGCTTGCCGTTCGAATAGCTTCCATTTCTAATGATAGCGGACGACACAATGCAGCTCTCCTTTGCTTAGGGTTGAGGAGAGACTAAATGTAACTTGACTCAATCGGAGCCAAATGTACAATCGTCGTAGAAGTAATTAGCGCTTGAGTTGGCCAATCTAAATTGGAGAGAGAGAGAGAGAGAGAGAGAGAGAGAGAGAATGGACTAACGAGGAGGGGGAGCTGCCCGAAGAAAGAGTGGCACTGGCATTAGTACTCGACGTTTGTAGATGGAGGCATTGTTTTTTTTGTTTTTTAAATTTTTTTGTGAGGGATTGGAACTTAAATTAACCAAAAAATTTGTTGGTTTTGAAGAGAAGAATTGTGCCTCCCAATTAAATTTCCCTTATCTTTGCTCATAAGGGCCAAGAAGTTGCTACTACGCTACCTGCAACCATGGTGCAATAACAATTTTTGTGATTGTAACTACGACATAATATCCGAGCTCCCTATGTAATTATTCTACCTGTAATTTTAATAGGAAAAATTAACACATAAATTAATCCTCAGCCTTTGATTAAGGGGTGGTGCTAGAGGCACCAATTTTGGGCACCACCTTGGGCACCAACTCTCTAATAGAGGTGGAGCCTGCCAATACAACGGGTCCCACGCTCTATTAGAGGGTTAGTGCCCAAGGGGGTGCCCAAAGTTGGTATCTCTAGCATTTTCCTTGATTAATTCTCAATAGTTCATTCAAAACATAGAACCAATAATTTTTTTTTTAATATCCACGAGACATTTCAAATCCATTAAAAAAGAAATACAAATAAGAAAACGTTAATATGACTTTCTCTCTTTTGTCACATGTACATCGGGCTCATTACGTCTGATATTAATAAAATTATTTGTCAGATCATCAAATACATAATTAAACTTATTAGTGCCGGTCCTAAATTTTCCTCTGTATATAATAAAACGTGCTTTATTTTGACCTTTTATAAGGTGGATTTTTGAAGAACAATTTTCAACCCTCCCTCTCGAGTGGAGCCAATAGCTAATAGCGCTAATCCATTACTTAAAACTTAAAAATTAAAACTCTAAATATACAAAAGCATGACCTATAGCCTAATAGCATGTTGTGCAATTAGCCAAATAGATTAATTTGCTTGCTTGTGCCGTCCCTAGCTAGCTACATGTAGCCCTGAAGTGTTCTTAGCCCCGGGCTACACCTGCTTCATTGAAAATTTAAAGAGATTCCTAGTATTTTTATGGAAGAAATTTGCAAAATATCCCACCAAACTAAGCTATTCACAATCTTGACCCCTTGGGACGGTATACCACATGAGTTTTCTTATATAAGGAACTGTATTTAGCTCAACTTTGGATATTTTGTTAGCCCTAATAGTTTTCGTGGATCAGTATTTTGCTTGGGGAGTTTTGATTGTTAACATATTTGCACGAAAGATACACAAATTAGTATTTTGCATGTCAGAATACTAATCAAGGTTTATATCTTTGTGTATACTAAGCGAGCAAAATAAGTTTTAAATAAGCAGTGCGCATCGTATTTTCTGACAACACTACTCATCATATATTTCGTATAAAAATTTAATTTATATGAAACTCAACTTCTGATGTATACTTTTAATAGTAATATCATCCACTTCTTGGGACATACAATTTCATCCTATCTATTGTGAAGCCAAGCCAATATTGTTTGCAGATGATGAATTGGCTAAATTCAAACATTTTCATTCTCAACTTTGCATTTACTTTTCTAGTTTTCCTTTTTATGTAAAATTACAAGAGTTGTGCTTTGTGTTTGTATAGCAGAAGAAGTATTATTTGTTTAAAAAAGTTTGTTGTATATATTCATAGCAAAAGCAGGTCAGCATTGACCACGCACATAGTTTATAAAGCCACTGGTGATAAACAAAATTGTA